ATTGTCTAAAAAAGTATTTTTTAAAACAGTATAAAAGTATATTATAACAAATATTTTGTTTATTATGAAATGTTTATATAGACTTTATTAAAGTCATTATTAATTTTTAATAATACAACTTATTTACAAATCAAATTAGATTTGTTTTGTTGTATTTTGTTTATCAAATAAAACAATCATTTTTAATCAACAATTATGATTATTTGAATAATAATATATTTTACACATTAAATAATATTGTCAATGACATAGTTTAAACCATGTTCATGTTTATCAAAGTCACCATTTTGTTTAAATGTGTTAAAACAATAAAAACATGTTGTATCGTCTCGACAATTATGACTGTTTTAAAAACACTGGAAAACTCAATTAATTGTTCAGTGACTTGTCATTAAATTGTATTGCATTTGTTTGATAATAATAATTTTTAACAACAATTTTACCAAAATTTTTATTTTGCCATTTAACTCTTTTTATAGTCATTTTAAAACAATTTTTCCTTGTTAAAAAAATTGTTTATATTCAATCAAGTTTGTTTTTGAAATTTTAAATTATCCTGTTTTGAAATTTGTGTATTTTTTAAATTGCTTTTATATTTAAAGATCAAAATTAAAAACTCTAAGACAAAAATAAGATTGTGTTGACACGTTAAGAAATAAAGACACAAATTAATTAACTTCATTATTTTCTCAAAAAATTGGATTTTTTTGGCAAAATTGATTTATGGTAAAGAGATTATTGAAAATCGTGTTTTTGTTGCTATAATTGGGGTGCGGGCCGGAAGTCTACTGTAATTATTTTACAATTATAAATGATATAACAATACATCATTTATTTAGTCAAATTATAACTAATAATTATTAAATGTTTAGTTTATTATTTGACAAACACATTGTATTTATAATAATTATAAAATGGTTTTCAAAATTCTGTACTGACCTTTTTTTCTTTTTTTGAATCCCGTTTTTGTCCTTTATATTTTTCCAAAAAAACAAATTTAAAAAAATAAAAGTACAGACTAAATTTTAAAAAAATATAAATCCCATTTTATTTTTTATGGGAATTGTTGAATAATCATCTCATCATTTGAACATTTAAATTCTTGTATGTTTTATTATTATTTTTTATCATTATCATAAAATAATGAGTTGCTTTTTGTGTTCATGATCGGGCTAGTTAAACATCATCTTTTTAATTATTGTTGTTATTTTTAAAAAAAGTTTTTTTTGAAACAACACAAAAATAGACAATTTTATGCTTGACATTTATTCTGAAATATGATGTCTTTGCAAAAGTCTTAATTAACCCGTTTTATTTGATTTTATTGTTGTGACAACTCGTATAAACTTGAATTAAAGGCAAATTATATGAAATTGTTTTTATTTTGAAGATATAAATTTTTGGTTTGGAATTTAAAATGGTATCAATTTCAAAAAGCAAAAGATAAAATGTAATTGATTTAATTAAATTGGTATATATAATAACATAAATAATATATATAATTTTTAATTTGATATACATGTTTTATTATAATAAGTGTTGATAAATTGAAAAATATTTTGATGTCACATTTTGATATATTATTTATTTT